ATATAATCTTATTAATTATTTGTATACATGGATTCTAGTTACTTTATATATACATATATATAAATTCATTATAATTGCAACGAACGCCTTCGAAACTTTTTGGTTGGCTGGTTGAATCTGCTATATTGCTTTTCATATAAACATATAATCTAATATAATATAATTTAATTATTTGTATACATGGATTCCAGTCATTATATATATATATATATATATATATATATAATGAAAATTCATTATAAAAGCAACAGTAATCAGTGCTATATATGTGCGCACGCAGTTTAAATTTTTTGGGACGAATTCAAAATAGTTTGAGACCACACCTTGCTTAGCATCCGATTCCAAGCCGAGCCAAGCCAAGCTGAGCCAATATGCATAGATTTATAAGCGCTTTTATGTTAATATTTTGCTCGCTATATTTATATATTTAATAAATTCATTATTAAAAAACAACAGTAGCCATTACTATATATGTACGCACGCAGTTCAAAATTTTCGGCGAGAATTCAAAAAAGTTTGAGACTACACCTTGCTTGACAACCGATTCCAAGCCGAGCCAAGCCAAGCTGAGCCAATATGCATAGATTTATAAGCGCTTTTATGTTAAAATTTTGCTCGCTATATTTATATATTTTATATTATTAAATTCATTATAAAAATAACAGTAATCATTGCTATATATGTACGCACGCAGTTTAAATTTTTTGGGGCGAATTCAAAATAGTTTGAGACCACACCTTGCTTAACAACCGATTCCAAGCCGAGCCAAGTCAAGCTGAGCCAATATGCATAGATTTATAAGCGCTTTTATATTAAAAATTTGCTCGCTTTTTAAACGAATATCCCAATACAAGGGGAGGCCTATTTACAATTAAACAACACTTTCTTATGGGTTGAAGCAGGGATATGCAAAGAATCTCAATTTTTGCAACTTTTAATTATTTTCGGTAATGTCGATTTTATTTGTTTAAATTTATACCAAATAAAAGTAATTAATTACCATATTGAATAACAATTTAAAAAAATAAAATTTTAACATTTTAAATAAAAGCAATATTCCGTAATTAATAAATATACTATCGTGACTTTTGACTCCAACCTCGCCCTCCATCTCCCCTCCAGAAGTAAGCTCCTTGTTCAACCGTTGAAAGTGAGCGAAGGTCGTTATATTTATTCTAGTTATATGTATCAAACAGTATCTTATTGAACAAAATAGTATCATAAAATAAATAAAGATACTTTTTTAATATAAAAAATTCTCAATTTGATTTCATTGCGATATTGATGATGATGATGATTGTGACCTGAATAATTAAAAAACATCAAATAAAATTTATAATAAATTATAAATTTGAACTGCGTGCGCACATATGTAACACTGATTACTGTTGCGTTTATAATGAATTTATATAATATATATATACAAAGCGAGAAAAATTTTAATATAAAAGCGCTTATAAATCTATGCATATTAGCTCAGCTTGGCTCGGCTTGGAATTGGATGTTAAGCAAGGTGTGGTCTCAAACTATTTTGAATTCGCCCCAAAAAATTTAAACTGCGTGCGTACATATATAGCAATGATTACTGTTATTTTTATAATGAATTTAATAATATAAAATATATAAATATAGCGAGCAAAATTTTAACATAAAAGCGCTTATAAATCTATGCATATTGGCTCAGCTTGGCTTGGCTCGGCTTGGAATTGGATGTTAAGCAATGTGTGGTCTTAAACTATTTGGAATTCTCCCAGAAAAATTTGTGCACATATGTAGCACTGATTACGACTGTTGCGTTTATAAGGAATTTATATACTCTATATATAAAGCGAGCATAATTTTATTATAAAAGCCCTTATAAATCTATGCATAATGGCTCAGCTTAGCTCGGCTCGGCTTGGAATCGGATGTTAAGCAAGGTGTGGTCTCAAACTATTTTGAATTCGCCCCAAAAAATTTAAACTGCGTGCGTACATATATAGCAATGATTACTGTTATTTTTATAATGAATTTAATAATATAAAATATATAAATATAGCGAGCAAAATTTTAACATAAAAGCGCTTATAAATCTATGCATATTGGCTCAGCTTGGCTTGGCTCGGCTTGGAATTGGATGTTAAGCAATGTGTGGTCTTAAACTATTTGGAATTCTCCCAGAAAAATTTGTGCACATATGTAGCACTGATTACGACTGTTGCGTTTATAAGGAATTTATATACTCTATATATAAAGCGAGCATAATTTTATTATAAAAGCCCTTATAAATCTATGCATAATGGCTCAGCTTAGCTCGGCTCGGCTGGAATCGGATGTAAGCAAGG